TGATGCGGTCATGCTCCATGAAAAAGAATGCTGCTTCCTTTTGTATTAGCTGTTGGCACTTTAGAAATCTCGATTGCCCTGCTTAGCTTTGTAGGTGGGATTTTCATCTACCAAGAGCAAGACAGTTTAGAGGAGTGAACAGAAGATGAAGGATCTGATTTTTTTGTTTTCGTGCCTTTCTCTGTTTTTTTCCAGACAGTGAAATTCCGTTATTTCTCAGTTCTGTCTCATTGTCTCTATGCCTGTCTGTATCATGTTTTTATTTTCCATGAGAATCATTTTTCCAGGGCATAATTAACTTGGATTCCCTTTGCTGAGCACTGGGTGCACCTCGTTCTCTGCTCAGCATTTGACATTCCAGTGAGCTGACCCAGCCTCCAACACAGTGCACTGTGGGCAGCCTACCTGGCTCTCCATTCTCTAGGAATGCTGAACTAATTTTTATTGCATGTGACTCTTCCAGGTGGTGGTGACCCTGGGGGACCCAAATGTGACCGCTCCATCAAGCTCAGTTGGCTTGACTAACATCACCGTGACCCCCATCACCACTGCAGCTGGAACTCAGTTTACCAATCTCCAACCAGTGGCCGTGGGACACCTTACCACCCCCGAACGCCAGTTGCAACTGGACAACTCAATCCTGACTGTGACCTTTGACACTGTTAGTGGCTCCGCCATGTTACACAACCGCCAGAATGATGTCCAGCTCCATCCCCAACCGGAAGCCTCAAACCCACAGTCTGTGGCCCACTTCATCAACCTCACCACCCTGGTCAACTCCATCACACCCCTGGGGAGCCAGCTCAGTGACCAGCACCCACTCACATGGCGGGCAGTGCCCCAGACGGACGTCCTGCCGCCGCCACAGCCACAGGCACCCCCGCAGCAGGCTGCCCAGCCCCAGGTGCAGACCGAGCAGCAGCAGCAGATGTACAGCTACTGAGTGGGCAGAGGGCTAGGGCAGGGCTGCAGGGAGGGCTTCCTGGAGTCCTGACGTTGGTTTGCTGGATACCAAACAACAAAAAAGCATATATTGCGTGTAAGTAAGGTTGATTTAGCTTTTGCAGAAGTATCTTGAAAGGCCCCCAACAAGCATTAGGGTCTGTCAGCTGGACACATGAAGTGATCCCTGGCAGGCAGGAGTTTCAGATCAATGGAGCTCCATGCATGCCTTACCAAGGTAGTGTGTCCTGGGCTGGAGCGTGTTGCCTCCACTTCCAGGACTGCTTGTTTAGGGGAAGCGAAGCTCTAAAGAGGCAAGTGGTACATTGTTTGCAACATACATGGTTACTTTTCTTTTTTCCTGTGGAGCTCAGTTGTTTTATGAAAACACAGACAATATTCACAGGTGGCAACCTGCAGGGTGGAACAGGATTTCCTCCTCACTTCTA